CGTCAAATGCGTGATAAGTGAGGCAACATCGGGAAAGCTTTTACCACAGAACTTACACAGTACAACACTATTCGGATCACTAGACGCGCCAAGTAGTGACGATGATTTAGAAGCGGCTGCTGCTGCCGCCGCCGCTGCAGCTGATGTTGATGACGAGCCTGCGCCACTTAATAACAAGCCACTGCAAGAGCTACCATTACCAGAAGCTGATGAGCCAATACCGCCGACACCGCCACTTCCACTGCTGCTACCGCCTCCTCCTCCAGCACTGCCAGCACGAGAACCACCACCACCGGTAACTCCAGCACTACCATCGAGATCTAAACCACCACGAGTACCACAGCCCGACATACTGGTAAGCGCAGCACAACCACCCGCAGCAACTACAGCCGCTGCAAAGTCCATTTCAATGGCAGCAGTTGCTGCAGCCAAAACAGCTGCCTGTTCCTGAGGATCACTACTGCTAGCCATAGCAGCGGCAGCATTCATTTGATACGCAAATTGTTGCTGCAGTGGTGGCATATTTAGTTCGTGCGACAAGAGATGCGTATTGAGAAAGGTATGCGTGGCGGGTTCACGATATTCTAGGGTTTTCAGTGAGTGCGATAGTATGTGACGTGTCAGTTTGCTTTGATGCGGGAATGCCGCTCCACAATACACACACGGAAACATTGGCGGCGGCGTCTGTGGTTGTGGCGGCTCGTGGGCAGAGCTTGGACCACTGCCACCGCCGGCGCCGCCACCGGTACCGCACGTCGAATTACCACCGATAACACCGATACCGACACCACTACCACCAGCACCGTGTGGCGACTCGGACGTTTCCTGCAACAACACCAAACAAAAATCCAACATCAACTTCTTTCTTTCTTCTTCTTTCATTTTTATTTAATTTTTTACGGTTTTTACTTTTACTACTTTTTATTTTTCTCATTTGCTTTTTGGTTCTTGTATATTTCATTTAAAAATTATTGATACTTTTTAACTTCTTCGTTTTCTTTGTCGTTTGAAAAAAAATCAAAAATTATTAAATTATTTTTTATACAGAAAAAAATAAAGTTCTTTAATTTTAATTATAATGTTGATACTAAAAGAATAATAGTTTAAAAACAAATTAAAAAAATATAGAAAAATAAGTAAGAAACGAAAATCCAATTTTTAGAAGAAAATTTCAAACAATTTTTATAATTTATAATAATTGGTTTAAATGCTAATAATACAAATTAATCAATTAATTAATTAATTTACTATAAACTCATTAATAATAGCAAATTTAGTTTTAGTATTAGAACAGATACGTTGCCAAAAACAAGAGGGGATGGCTTTTAACTTCGCCTTAACTTTTAGACGTTGTTTTGTTGTAAAAAGCTTTTGTTTTATATAACTATTTCTTTTATTTAATTTTTATATTTTATATTAAAAACCAAAATAAAATTAATATTTTATTTAAATTTTTTTTTTGTATTTTTATTTTTTGCAAGAAGTTGAATTTCGATTTTTGTTTGGGCGTTGTTTAAAAAACGTCACTTAATTAAGTTTTACTATTTGTTATTATTTTAAACTTTTTTATTTTTTTATAAGTTTTTTTTTTAATTTTTTTTTTGTTTGTAAAGTAGCGAACGTTAAAAAATATACAAAAAATTGTTTAACTTAATTTAGACGTTTGTAATTAATAAAATTTTGACGCGACGTTTGAACGATCTTGATTAATGTACTTAAATATTTTTAATATTATTTTTTATATAAAATAAACATCTGTTTTTTGTATTTTAACAATAAAAACAATTATATAAAATTTTTGAACGAAATGTGAAAAAGAGCGTTTGAAGTGTATAATAAAAATTAAATGATTTTGTTTGTTAGAATAAAATTTTTTTGTTTGCCAATATTTTT